CTCTACAGGCACCAGGCACACACATGATACACAGACATACACACAGGTGAGACACTAAGCCACATAAAATAATATAAATAAAATGATACCAGTAAACAAGCCTAAAAATGATTCTTCATTTAAAAAATTAAAATTAAAAACCTGAGCTCATAAAGCAGGAAGCATGTCTGTGTTGTTGTGAGTCTGAACCCTAGGTCTCCAGGATGCTTCCCGGCACTTCTGTAACTCCATGTTGTTTGACACTTTGAGGTCCTCAAGCCCACAACCACTTGAAGCCACCATCCTACTTAATGGTGCTGTGAATCTGACCACTCCTGGAACCTGAGACAGTTAGAATCCTTCAGAGTTTATTGTTTCATGACTGGCTTATTTCACTTAGCACAATGTCCTCAAGACCCAGAATTCCCAGAATTCCCTTCCTTTTTAGGGTTACATAATTTACTGTGGGCACACAGCAAGCTTTGTTTGGCCATTGACCTATCAACAGACCTTGTATTGCTTCAGCCTCTTGTTTATTTTTTGTTTGTTTGTTTTTGTTTGTTTTTGTTTGTTTTTCGAGACAGGGTTTCTCTGTGTAGCCCTGGCTATCCTGGAACTCACTCTGTAGACCAGGCTGGCCTCAAACTCAGAAATCCACCTGCCTCTGCTTCCCAAGTGCTGGGATTAAAGGCATGTGCCACCACTGCCCGGCTTGTTGTTAATATTGCTGCTAAGAACATGGGTATGGAAATACCTCTCTCTCTCTCTCTCTCTCTCTCTCTCTCTCTCTTTCTCTCTCTGTCTTTGTGTGTGTGTGTGTGTTGATATAGCAAAGCAGAATGATGATGTGAGTTAACCATCAATCCTCTTCCTTCTTTCAAAGTGATTTTGCCCAGAGAATATGCACACTGTGTCTGTGACATCCTTCTGGATGGAGTCAAATGCAATGTTTACACCTGGAGTCACTTTCTTGTGTGCAGTGTTAAAATCCCCAATGGACTTTATTTCCACGAAAATGGATATTCTCTTGTGAGTTTTGTAAAAAAAATGGTATTATAGCCTATGTACACTACCAAATGCTTCTTTTAAACAGCATAACATTGGTACTGGAAAGACAGTTAATAGTCCATACTGCTCTTGTAGAGGACCTGAGTTCAATTCCCAGCACCCACAACTGTGACCTCACAACCACCTGCAACTCCAGTTTTAAGGGATCCGACACCCTCTACCGGCCTCCATGGGTACTGCATGCACATGGGCACATACACATAAAATACATAAATCCTTCTTTTAAAAAGCATAGTATTGACTTCTTCTTAAAAGATGTATTCATGTTGTGCAGTGATCATCCCTAATCCGAAATACTAAAACCCAGAATCTGAACTCACCGAACATTAGTGTAATACATCACACATGGAGAACTCCATGCCTGGCCTCCTGTGAACAGAAGTTAGAATGAAGTAAGTTGAAATTTTTGCATCAAGTTACCATCAGGCTGAGTACATAAGGCATAAATGAAATGTAAACAGAGCCTGTGAATTATACGTGTGAAAATATTCCGATCACAGCAAATTTAGTCTGGTTCCTGCACTCTAGCTAAGAGAGACTCTACCGGCTTTACCCCATGCTGACATCACCCATTTTGCTGATGTCCTATGAAAACACAACCCTTGTCCACCATGATCACTCATCTTCAAACTAAGGACATTTGAATATGCCTCTGGGCTGTGTGGGGTAAAGGTTCAGAGTATCCTCTTCATAGAAAGTGAAGTTAGGTGAGGTGGAAACTTAAGCATTCTTTGAGAAGTCAGTTGTGCTGGAAGGTGTTTTGCTAAGGCAGACTCATGACAGAATGTCTAGCTGAAGCAGACACAGGAGAGAGGATGTTCTGCTAAAGCAAGCATGTGAAAGGACACGTGATGAAGGATTCTGTGCTAACGATATGCATGCATTGGTCTGCCTTACACTGTGTAGTTGAGCTCCATTTGTCTGGACTCTATAGAAAGAAAAGCACCAAAAAACCCTTCTGGTGTGTTGTGGCTTCTTGCTGCTTTTGAGGACTTGGGCTGATTGGCAGAGTGATGTCAGCTGAGACAGTCACATGTGCTGAGGCGAGACTCGTGGAGGACACATGCTGTTTGGGGGGTATAGATAGGACTCAAGGGACGGTGATGGAGGCTGAGCTAAGCTTGCTTATAGAGCTAGCTGAGCAATGCTTGTTGGTCTCTTGTCTTCGCTGATCTTTGATTCATTGAGAGAAGCACTTCTGGTGTCCCTCTGGGTCCCTCCTGCTGACTCTGATAGTGCCACAGCTGCTGATTCCTATTTGCTATCCCGACTCTTCCAAACTGATGTATCCATGAAGAGATTTTTAGTGAATTGCGCTGCTATCTATTGTTAGGAGCCGCGTCCACCATCGCAAGATGGCGCCGGTTTCCTGCTTCCTGGTTCTTCTTTCGAGCCTTGCTTGAATGTGCGCCTGCGCAAGGCGCGAAAACCAGTATGCTAATTTGGCGACATCATAAGAGCCAATGAGTGTGCAGCACATCTCCTAAAGCGCTATATAAGCCACAAGCTTTTGGGGCTTGGGGTCCCTCGCCTCACTACCATCTAAGAGAGCTATAACACTAAAAGAGCTGTAATAAAAATGCTGCCAGAAGAATCCTGAAGCGTGGCGTTCTCCTTTTCGGCGAGGCGGCGCCCCGCAATCTATGAAGAGTTTTTGAGTGGACTGAGCTGCTGACCTGTGAACTGAACTACTGATTTCCAGATACCACAGACTCTAAAGAACCTTTCTAAATAGGTCCACATCCCCCTTCTCCCACAGTATCCTTTCTTTCCCACTACCTCTGGTGGGAGGTGGGCTAAAAGGGAGGTTAAAGCATTTAAGAACTGTCATTAAAAATAAGGATTAAAATAATTAAAGTTAAAGTTAGGAGCACCAAGCATGCTCCTGTTCACTTTAGTATGAGTCAAGCTATGTCCCCTAGAGGACCCCCCTCCCTTCCTTCCTGTCTGTTTTTTCTTTCTTTCTCTCTTTCTTTTTTCATGATTTATTTATTTTATCTATATGGGTGCTCTACCTGCATGCACACCTGAGTGACAGAAGAGGGCATCAGACCCCATTACAGATGGTTGTGAACCACCATGTGATTGCTGGTGAACTCAGGACTCCTGGAAGAACTGTGTGTCAACTTGACACAAGCTGGAGTTATCACAGAGAAAGGAGCCTCCCTTGAGGAAATGCCTCCATGAGGTCCAGCTGTAAGGCATTTTCTCAATTAGTGATCAAGGGTGTGAGGGCCCATTGTGGGTGGTGCCATCCCTGGGCTGGTAGTCTTGAGTTCTATAAGAGAGCAAGCTGAGCAAGCCAGGGGAAACAAGCCAGTAAGTAACATCCCTCCTGGCATCTGCATCAGCTCCTGCTTCCTGGCATGCCTGAGTTCCTTTGGTGATGAACACCAATGTGGAAGTGTAAGCTGAATAAACCCTTTCCTCACCGACTTGCTTCTTGGTCGTGATGTTTGCATAGGAGTAGAAACCCTGACTAAGACAAACTGCCAGTGCTCTAACCACTGATCCATCTCTCCAGCCCTTCTCTGCTTTCTTAAGAAAGGTTTATTGAATATGCCACAAGAGGCAGCCTGCAGGGCCATAGCTAGAGTACTACTTGTGATAACTTACCTTTAAAAAAAAACTGTTTTTAGACATTTCAAATCTACTCCTCTCTCTTCCCCTTCTAACTCCTCCTATGCCTCCTGCAACTGCCTATCAAGTTCATGACTAACATCTTCTATAATTATTATTTTACCTACACACACACACACACACACACACACACACACACACACGCACCCTAGTGGGCCCATTTAGTGTTTTATGAGCATATGTTTAGGGCTGACCACTGGGGACTGGATAACCTATCACAGGGCTCTCCATTGAATGCAGGTTCTTTCTCTCTCAGCAGGCCTTGATTGCCTTTACACGTGGTCAACTTGCAGAGACTAGGTGACCGTGGTGTGTGCAGCCCCAACTGTTAAGTCTACAATGCAATCCGTACACTCAAGGCCCAGGAAACATCAGGATTGAGACTGTGGAAAGATTTTAAGAGCAGGGTGGGCTG